AAAAAAAAAAAAAAAAAAGTTTAAGGGAGCCATGGATGTATGAAAAAGTTAATTAGGTAGTGCTAAGTTGATTAGATATAGTTTTATTTCTTCCCATACTCTAGAGTTTATCAAGATTTTGGGGGAAGAGATTTATATAATACATTATTGTCTGTTTTATTTAGAGTTAGTAAAATTATAAATGTGTTCTTATAAAAAAATGGAAAAAGGATTCTCTATCTTTGATATATGGTGGATGTTGCAGACATTTGCTTGGGAAAATATCTGTAGATGTAAATATAATCAGCAGTAAATTTAATCATATTGTTAATAACACAAGAATTTGTAATAATTTCTCAGCCACACACAATCCAAGTAGCATTTATACAATTCAAACACAATTTTCTATCTTGGAAGAGGTAAGTTATACTAGAATCATGTGATGCAAAAGTGAGATGTATCATAGAATAAAGAACTTTTTATTATTAACTATTTTTTAACTTTGGTGAAACACACACAACATTAGACCTGTCCTATTAACAAATTTCTAATTGCACAATACAGTACTGTTAACTATATACACATTGCTTTACAGCAGATCTCTAGAACTTTTCCAGCTTGCATGACTGAACTGAAACTCTATACCTTTTGAACAGCAGCTCCCTGTTCCTGTCCTCCCAAACTCTGGCAACCACCATTTTACTTTCCACCTCTTTGAGTCTGACTACTTTAGAAACCTTCTGCAGTATTTGTCCTTCTGTGTGTGGCTGGCTTATTGCACTTAGAATAATGTCCTCAGGGTTCATCCATGTTGTTAGCACATGATAGATTTCTTTCTGTTTTAAGGCTGAATAATATTCCATTGTATGTATATACCACATTTTCTTTATTCATTCATCCAGTGATGGACATTTAGTTTGTTTCTACCTCTTGGCTACTCTGAATAATGCTTCAATGAATATGTGAGTGTATGTATTTCTTCAAGATTCTGTTTTCAGTTCTTTTGCATCAATATCCAGAAGTAGAATTGCTGGATAATTTGGTAGTTCTATTTATAATAGCTGAGGAAACTCATACTGTTTTCCACAGTGACTGCACCATTTTAATTTCCTACCAACAGTTAAAGTGGTTCCAATTTCTCCACATCCTCACCAGCACTTGTTATTTCCTGTTTTTTGATAATGGCCATCTTAACAGGTGTGAGGTGATATCTCATTGTGGTTTTGATTTGCATTCCCCTGATGATTAGTGATTTTGAGCATTTTTTTCTTGTATCTATTGGCCATTTGTATGTCTTCTTTGAACTGTCTATTCAAGTCCTTTGTCCATTTTATAATTTGGTTATTTGGGGTCTGTTGTTCTTTGTTTGTTTTTTTGCTATTGAGTTGTAAGAGCTCCTTATATATTTTGGATAGTAACCCCTTATGAGATGCATGATTTGCATATGTTTTCTTCCATTCCGAAGATTGCTTTTCACTCTATTGATTGTTTCCTTCACTGCACAGAAGCTTTTTAGTTTGATGTAGTCCCCCTTGTCTATTTTTGCTTTTAAAGCCTGTACTTTTAGTGCCAATATCTGAGCAATCATTGCCAAGATCACAGTTATGGAACTTTTCACATATGTTTTTTCTTCTAGGAATTTTACAATTTTGGGTCTTCCTTTTAACTCTTTAATCCACTTTGAGTTGATTTTTGTGTATAATGAAAGAAAAGGGTCCAATTTCATTCTTTTGTATGTGTATATCTAATTTCCCCAACACCATTTATGGAAGAGACTATCCTTTCCATGTTGTATAGTCTTGGCACCCTTGCTGAAGATCCCATTTTACTGTTTAGGTGTGGGTTTATTTTTGGCTCTTTATTCTGTCCCATTGGTCTATAAGTCTCTCTTATGCCAGTACCATACTCTTAATTACTGTAGATTTGTAATATGTTTTGAAGTCAAGAAGTGTGAGGCTTCCAGCTTTGTTCTTTTTTCTCAAGGTTGTTTTGGCTATTTAGGGTTTGTGGTTCTATATGAATTTTAAGACACTTTTCCCCATTTCTGCAAAAAACGCCACTGGGAATTTGATAGGGATTGCACTTAATCTGTAGATTGCTTTGGGTAGTAAGGATAACATTTTAACAATATTAAGTCTTCCAATCCATGAAAACATTTCTTTGTCTCCTTAAATTTCTTTCAGCAATGTTTTGTAGTTTTCACCTTACATATCTTTTGACTTATTGGTTAAGTTTATTCTTAAATATTTTATTCTTTTTGGTGTTCTTATAAATGGGGTTGTTTTCATAATTTCCTTTTCATATTGTTTGTTGTTAGTTTATGCAACTGATTTTGTGAGTTGATTTTGTATTCTGTAATTTTGTTGAGTATTTTTTATTACCTCTGACAGTATATCTTTTTTGTCTGTGGAATCTTTATAATTTTGTACATATAAGATCATGACATCTGCCTAGAGAGATAGAAGCTTAACTTCTGAATTATGTTTCATTTTAGAGTAATTTTGATTAGGAGAGTGATAATAATTTGCCTTTGTATATTTCTTTATGCCTTTTTTCTCTTAAATAAGACTGCATTTTGTAGCTCAAAGGTATATTCTAACAATTAAGCGCACAGTCTTCCTACCTGTGTCAGAGGTATCTAAGGGTTAAAAAGAGAACTTTGGGCATCACAATACTTGACCCCTACAAAACAACTTTATGAAGTACGTATTAATAAGATAGCCACTTTACAGAAGAGAAAACTGAAGTTGAAGCTTTTGAGACTTGCGTGTATGACATAATTAACAAAGGGTAATGCCATGACTCAACTTCTCTTTTCTCATCCACATAGCTTTCTGAGTAAATGGACAGACTGTGTATTTAACTTAGTAGTACCATCTTTCCCTTTAGTTCTTTTAATATTAAAGTTTTTTTTATATATCTTCGCATGAATCAACAAACGGCCAGGAAAATTGATGAAATTTTCTGAAATAGTGATCATGTAGCCTGGGACAGCCACACTTATTGAGGAAAATGCACAAATGATTATCACAACTTGACAATATTATTTGTACTTCTTGAATTATAAGCAGGTGCTATATAATAGATTTACTTGAATTATATTCTGTTTTTTTACATTTTAGAGAGTTTTTTATCTTTTTTATCAGAACCATAATGTTTGTTTACATTTATGAGTCAAATATATTTAATTTTTTAAATTCCACTTTAGGAAATCCAGTACCAGCATTCTATATGGCTTAGTGGAGTTTTCACTTATTTCAAAATTTATTTCTAAACTACTGTAAATTGCAGCTTTTTTTCATTGAAACACAATCAATTCCCAAATGACTATTTAGCATCTAAACTGATCCTAGTTAGAAGCACATTGTTTGCATTAATAAATCTTAACAAATTTTCCTTTTTCTAAGGGTTCTTGTAATGTCACATTTACCAGTATCCTTAGATGATTCTTGGAAAGGGCTGATTATATATTTTTTACCTTGAGCATTTTTGTTTCATTCTGAAGCTGCTTTTATCTACCTATTCATCAGAATAAACACTGCTTGCTCTTACTTTAAATTTATTTTGTTGTGCAAACATAATATCTGTGTTTCTAAATAAATATTTATATCTTATCAGACTGTTTTTACAGCTCTATTTTGTGTTTTCAAAGCCATCATCTTTGTTTCTTCATTTAAATCAAGATATGCAGAACCATTTATAATTTATTGATTTGATGAGACAAGAGTTCACTTGCTGGGAGCTATGGTTCTATAATATTGTAGTATATCAGTTTTTATTTCAGTCTCCTTCAGAAGGAAGGAGCTGTTCTTTCTAATTGTTGAGTGAAGGTTATAAACATGTTTATATAAATCTTTATATAAACTGGCTGCAGTATAGGAATTATTCTTGAATTAAGGATACTTAAAGCAGCCTAGGTTCATGTGGCTCATACCATGTTTTGCAAAAACAACAAGAAAATCCATTATAGAATGCTTCTAACTACAAACCTTGGCTGAAACAGAGTTAATTATGCTCTGTTCTTGCCTTTGTTGAAATGGCCTATAGATATCAATCACACAGATCTTGAGGCTGTGTAGCTGATTATTATTTGCTATTTCAGATGACTGGTAATCACTTCCAAGAAATTAGAAAGACTTAGTAAGAGGAAAATATAATTGCTTTTCCAGTAATTTCTACTTATGATTGACAGAAAACAGAGAATAAATAAATGTCTACATGAAAATTTGTGTCTTCTGTGATGTTTTTATCTTTCAATTTTTTTCCAATTTATTTTGAAAAAACAATTTTCGTTGTGTGTGACATTTTGGCACCTCTTATTGATTATTTATTCATTATTATTTAAGATTTCTTTTTTCAACCTTGATATGGTATTCATTATTAAAATTAACCTCACTCTATACCAAGTAATTATACTTATGGAATGTTTCGTGTGGTCCCAGAGCCACATCAACTAGGTATCCACTGGCCTGAAGCTGAATATGGGTGACGTATAAGTTGGCTACTGGCTTCCTGAGAATGAATGAGAAAGGTTTCCATGAGGAAGAACTTTGTGGTTCTTCAGGTTATTTATCTCATTATCTTGTTATATGGTTAGCTATAGTAATCCGATTAAGTATACTGAAATTCTAGTAAGAAAGATGTAAAAAGAAATTACTTAGAAAGGAAAAGTGTTTTATAAAATACAAATATATATTCTTGTCTAACACCAAAAAACTGGAGATTTTATTTATGAGGTCAATGTCTTTCATAAAAATTAGAGAAAAATCTTATCTTTTTCATCTTTTAAAAAAATCAAACATTTTTTTTTTCTTTCAGCATGTGGAGAAACCCTACAAGAATCCAATGGCAACCTTTCCTCCCCAGGATTTCCAAATGGCTACCCATCTTATACACACTGCATCTGGAGAGTTTCTGTGACTGCAGGAGAGAAGGTAGTTTATCCCATCAAGAGTTCTCCTTTAATCTCAGATGCAAAGGTTCATTTTCTTTCAAATATAATTCATTTTGTTTTTTATTCTTGTTTGATTAATAAAATAGCTCAGAAATTTTATAATGGAAATTACTCAAAGTCTAGGAATTTTTTGAAAGATGTAATTTTAAAAGAAATGGTAAATTGTCTAAAAGGGTTGACATAATACAAATTATGTACTCAGATACACTGAAATTAAGTTAAAAGTCAGTATCATATGGATAACTAGAAAAATCCCACACATTTTAAAATTGAGAAATATACATCAAATATCCAATCCATTCAAGAAGATATTGTGATTAAAATTAGAAATTATTTTCAATTATAACAAAAATACTGAAAATACCAAACCTGTAAGATTCACCTAAAGCAGTACTTAGAAGGAAATTCACAGACCTAAATGCTCATATTAGGAAATAAGAAATACCCAAAACTAATGAGATTGACATCCACATAAAGAGACTAGAAAAAGAGCAATAAAATAAATGAAAAAGTACATAAAGGAGAAAGTAATAAATAAAAGATAAAGAAAATATCATGGTATTGTACAAAGTATGGACAAAGTTGGTACTTGAAACAATTTAGAAAAATAGAGAAATGGGTGAAAAGAGATCAAGAGGAAAAAGAATAACAGAGAAAGCACAATTAGCTAATATTTAGAATAAAATGATTATTATAACCATAGATACTTTAGGAACCAAAAGAACATTTTGAACATTATGCCAATAACTTTAAAAATGTAAATGAAATGGGCAAATTACTACAAAATATTACTTACTAAGTTCTTATTTGAAAAGAAATAAAAAGCTTGAATGCTCCTATAACCACTAAAGAAATCAAATTACTATTTAATTGAATTATTAGTCAAAAGTTTTTCAACAATGAAATCCAGACTCAGATGGCTTCATCAGTGAGTTCGACCCAACAATTAAATAAGAAATAAGTGTAATCTAATATAAAGTCTTCCACAGAATAAAATAAAAGATACACTCTCCTATTTATATGGTTAGCAAAACCTTGATAGCCATCCTGATGACAAGAACAGTGTAAGAAAGGAAAATTTTAACCCAGACTCACACTTGAATATGTATGTAAAATCCTCCCCACATTACCCAACCAAATGCAAATATATATGCCTCTGTATGTATGTATGTATGTATCTATCAATCTGTAAATATATAAATAATATATACATATTTCAAGGGCAGATATATGCATGGATATGTGTATATATGTATGATATATTATGTATATATGTTTGTGTGTATATGTATGTGTACATATATACAAGCACCATTAGATGAGTATCTCAATTAAATCAAGAAAAAAAATCTATTAATGATTTAACAACAACAACAAAGCCTGAGCAAACTAGGAATGGAAGAGTATTAATCTTATAAAGAGGAGCAACAAAAATTAGTGCAAATACCATTATCATTAGGGTAATTCTGAAAGTATTTCCTTTGAGATAGGTAAAAAACCAAGTATGTCCACCAGTCCTCTTCTTTTTTTTAACATTTTGGTGGAAATAGTAGCATGTTAAGGCAAGAAAATGAAATTACACATGTAAGGATTAAAAAGGAAGCCATAAAATTCCTTTTATCATATTGTTTGGTTATAGAATTTAAAATTATTAAGAAGTGAAATGAATAAATCTATTAATTTCTGGATTCTGTCTGGAATGCTAACCTTAAAAAGTCTTCCCAGACCAAGATTATAATGATATAAATTTTTGTTTTTTACTAGTTATTAAATTTTTATCCTTTGTCTTTGACTAATTCGTATGGAATGACTCATATACACTTTGAGTTTTGGTGGAAAAGCAAACGCAGTTAAGAAAGTTTCAACTCCCTGATTTTTGAATGTTGTTATGAGTATCATGGGTATGGAGTTGTCCAGGATGTTGCAATACTCACAATGAAAACTAAATGAAACTCTTGTGTAGCATAAACAGATTTTATATATAAAAAGTTACAACTGACTTGTAATACATGAATTCATACATAATTCTTTATATAGTTATTTTCAGTATTGTGAGTCTACGTTGTAATATAGTTATAGGTGTTGATCAATTTCTGTTTAGATCCTTTGAATAAGCCCCTGAAAACATATTATGAAAATCATTATAAAGGTACTGAAGAGCAAGATATAAAAGATGATAAAGCTTCAGAGAAAGTTTAAAACTGTACATGATATATTTTTTTTAGTTTTTCTTAGTTTTTTTAAAAACATTTTTATTGGAGTCTAGTTGATTTACAATGTTGTGTTAGTTTCAGGTGTATAGCAAAGTGAATCTGTTTTACATATACATATATCCACTCTTTTTTAGATTCTTTTCCCATATAGGCCATTACAGAGTATTGAGTAGAGTTCCCTGTGCTATAGAGTAGGTCCTTATTAGTTATCGATTTTATATATAGCAATGTGTGTATGTCAATCCCAATCTCCCACTTTATCCCTTCCCCCACCTTACCCCCGGTAACAATAAGTTTGTTTTCTACATCTGTAACTCTGTTGATGTTTTGTAGATAAGTTCATTTGTACCATTTTTTAAGATTCTACATATGTTATATCATATGACGTTTGTCTTTCTCTGACTTATTTCACTCAATATGACACTCTCTAGATCCATCCATGTTGCTGCGATATACATTAGTTTTTAAAATAAAGCATTGTAGAATATGGAAAGTTTTGGCACAAGATTAATCAAATTAAATCAGTTTGTAAGAGCAAGATAATACCTGGAAAAAAAAGTTTCTCCTATCTAATTGCAGTACCCGTACCATCAGCATTCAAAGTTTACTCAGTTTTCTTGTATGTAGGATTACTAATAAAATATTTTCCAAAATGTTGCAAATAGGAAGAAATAAACAAATCTATCATTTTTTCTCCTATATTTTTAATATTGTGTACAATGATGAGCAAATAAATTTATTATTATAAGTGGCCAATGAACAATATTAGCTCTTTTTTATTATATTTTTATTATTTTCTTTCAATATTTAAGTTCATTCTGCTCTTCTTTTTTATTTTATTGAAGTATTGTTGATTTACAGTTTTATATCAGTTTCAGGTGTACAGCATAGTGATTCAGTATTTTTATAGATTATACTCTGTTAAAATTATTACAAGATAATGGCTATAGTTATCTGTGCTGTACAATATATCCTTTTTGCTTACTTATTTTATATATAGTAGTTTTTATCTTTTATTCACATGCCCCTTATTTGTCCCTCCTCCTTTCCCTCTCCCTTCTGGTAACTACAAGTTTTTTTTTCTATATCTGTGAGTCTGTTTCTGTTTTGTATATACATTCATTTGTATTATATTTTAGAATCCACGTATAAGTGATTTCATACAGTATTAAGCATAATATTCTCTGGATCCATCTGTGTTGCTGCAAATGGCAGAATTTCATTCTTTTTATGGCTAATACTGCTATGTACATAGGAATATAATATATATATACATATATGTATATATGTATATATATATATACATATATATATATATATATGGCACATCTTCTATATCCATTCATCTGTAGATTGACACTTGGGTGCTTCCATATATTGGCTATTGTAAATAGAGCTGCTGTGAACGTTGGGGTGCATGTATCCTTTTGAATTAGTGTTTTCATTTTTTCCAGATATATACCCAGGGATCAAATTGCTGGATCATATGATAGTTCAATTTTTAGTTTTTTGAGGAACCTCCATACTGTTTTCCAGAGTGGCTGCACCAATTTACTTTACCACCAATAGTGTAGGAGGGTTCTCTTTTCTCCACATCCTCTCCAACATTTGCTATTTGTAGACGTTTTGATTATAGCCATTCTGACAGGTGTGAGGTGATATCCCCTTGTGGGTTTGATTTTCATTTCTCTAATAATTAGCCATATTGAGCATCTCTTCATGTGTCTGTTGGCCATCTGTATGTCTTTTTTGGAAAAATGTCTGTCAGAAGCTTCTTTCCAGTTTTTGATTGGATTGCCTTTTTTTTTATATTGAGTTGTATGAGCTGTTTATGTATTTTGGATATTAACCCCTTGTCGATCATGTCATTTGCAAACATTTTCTTTCATTAAGTTGTCTTTTTGTTTTGTTGATGGTTTCCTTTCCTGTGCAAAAGCTTTTAAGTTTAATTAAGTCCCATTTGTTTACTTTTGCTCTTATTTCTTTTGCCTTAGGAGACAGATCAAACAAATATTGCTACTATTTGTGTCAAGAAGTGCTCTGCCTATGTTCTCTTCTAGGATTTTTATGGTTTCAGGTCTTTCATTTAGGTCTTTAATACATTTTGAGTTTATTTTTATATAAGGTGTGAGGAAATGTTCTAATTTCATTCTTGTAAATGTAGCTGTCCCATTTTCTGAGCACCATTTATTGAAAATGCTGTCTTTTCTCCATTGTATATTCTTGCTTCCTTTGTCTCAGATTAACTGACTATAAGTGTGTGGCTTTATTTCCAAGCCATCCATTCTGTTCCATTGTTCTATATATCTGTTATTGTGCCAATACCATACTATAGTTTTGTGTCTAGCCTGAAGTCTGGGAGTGTGATATATTCAATTTTGTTGCTTTTTCCCATGATTGCTTTGGCACTTTTGTGTCTTCTGTGGTTCTATATGATCTTAGGATTATTTGTTCTAGTTCTCTGAAAAATACCATGGACATTTGATAGAGATTGCATTAAATCTAGAGATTTTATGGGTCTTTTTTACTTATTTGGTCGAGTTTAACTCACTAATTTCAACCATCTTTTCTTTTATCATACAAACATTTAAAGCTATAAATATTCCTTTAAAAACTACTTTATCTGAATTTCACCAGCTTGACACATAATATTTTTTTATTTTTCAGTTTTAATTATCTTCTTCATCTTTTACCATTTCTTCTGCCCACATATTTTTCAGGAATATATTTTTTTATTTGCAAACATATGTTATTTTTCCAATCTTTC